CCCTGCCGTCGCCCTTCAACCCAGCTGCTCCGCTGCCCAGCCGCCCCGCCATGGCCGACTTCATCTACCAGCTTCCCGCTCGCGTTCTGGACGAGTTGTGCCGCAGTATGGACACGCTTAGCGAGTGGGACTGGATGCAGTTTGGTGAGTGCGCCCGCCTCCCGGGAGCTGGTCTACCTTAGTGCTGGAGCCGTGGCACACGCCCATTACCACTTCCCACCCTGGCGCTCTAGGAGGCAGAGGCTGGAGGGTCGCAAGTTTAAGCCCAGTCTGGGCAACGTAGTGACTTGGAGAGACCCTGCTTCAAAATAAAAGATAACAGGGTGATGTCTCTGGGTTGTAGTTTAGTGTGAAAGCACTGGGTTCAATTCCCAGTACAAAGAGGAAAAACAAAAGCAAAAACAAAAAACGAAGTAACCTGCCCGAAGTCTCAGCCTGGCTAGGAGGCAGATTGGAACCCAGGCCCTGGACAGTAACTTGTGACTGATGATTGGCTGAGCTGCTGCCTGTGTGTCTCAGCTCCCTAAGCAGAGAGAGACCTGTTTTCCATGGCCAACAATTTCCAGCCCTGGTGAACTGGGGCTAGTTTCTCAGTCTGTCAGCTGGAGATGGGACACCGTCTCAAAGTGTAGGTCAGCCTGGCCTTGAGCTCATTATGCAGCACAGTCTGGCCTCAATTCATGGCTTCAAGTAGAAGCATACACCGCCAAGGCCAACCCACAGCTTCTTAATGAAGTTCCATAATGAGAATGCACAGAAGGGAAGCCCTCGATGCCTAAGTGTAGGGCTTCTTATAAGCCACGAGGAGGTGTTAGCAATTGTCAGTCTTGGTTTTGTTATGGCTTCAGTCACTGTAACTGGTGCCACTTAATTTTGTAAGTGTTATATTGTCTAATGAAAACATTATAAAACATGTCACTTATACAAAAAAGTACATAATTTATAGAGTGGAAAGAATACCCCAAAAGGAGCCCGTGTTATCCATGGGGTTTGAGCAAAATATATAATTTAACTGAGTGGCTCTCAGACGGGGGCTGTCGAAGTGTGGAGGACACAGTGTTAGGGTGAACGCAGGAAAGCTGCTGAGTATCGCGCCACGCACGGGATATGACTGGCTGGAGTGCCAGCTACTGAGGTGAAGGAGCCCGCTTTAATCCAAAAGGATGCACGGGCTTGGGGTGGAGTACAGGGTGGGCATCTGCCCAGTGAGCGCTAATGCCTGGGCCTCCACCCCCGAGGCAGGGTCAGGTAGTACCTACTTCGCACAAAGTAGAAAGCTTAGCTCAGGTTCCGCCCTCTAGACATAGCTATGCTGTGGGGTTTTTTCCCCTCATTTGTTTATTTCTATGTTTGCGGCACTAATGATTGGACCCAAGACTCAAGTGGGCAAGGCAAGGCCTCTGCTATTGGCAACAGCCAATACTTGAACAGCAACAGCTTCATGAGGTGAAACCGTTACTGTCTCCGCTGGGTCCTGATTCTTCGTGTCCACGAATGAGAACTGAGCAGACACACATGAGCTGAGGAGGACGGGTTTGTGTGCTGAAGGGGAAGTGTAGACTGCAGGGGTGGCAGAGTGCATGACGCATGCCCTATTTTCTGAGGATCTGGGCTCAGGTACTTAGTCTGAGTTCCCAGCAGCAGAGCTGGAGGTTGGCATTTCTTGTCTTCGAATTTTAGGTGGCCTAGTAACTAACTGGGCTAATTTCCGCACTTTGGGAAGGGAAGTTGTGTTTGTTCGGGATTGGGTGTTTTGAGTAGGGCTCCTTTTGCTTCAGGAAGTTTTTGTCTATACAGACCCAGCACCCTCTTGGGGTGCCAGAGGCAGTGTTGAGACCAGGATGGGGAACCCCAAAGCACTCTGAGCCCATACTCCCGGGCTGCTGTCTGAGGCCCAGTAAGGCTGAGGAGACAGAAGTGTGTTAAGGGTGGGCTCCATTAACGTGGTGAGGGCCCTGAGGTGGGCACCAGCAGGGGTAGTGGTGGCTTCCTGCCTGTGGTGAGCCCAAGGCCTGGATGCTCCTGCAGGTTTCCTGCCTCAAATGGTGCAGGCAGCACACCTGGGATGGACAGGGCTGGAGAGGTCTCCTGCCTGGGCCTCACCTCCCACCCTGTCTACCTAGGCTGCCCAGGTCCCGACCCAGAGTGTGTCCTGCCTGGTCATCTGGGCTGCTCTGCCCTGACGCTCAGGTGACCTGTGCGTTTACTTAGGGTTTCTGGGGCAGTGGCCATTTGTAGGAAGGGTTCCCTCTCATCTTTGCATATTGGCCCAGACCCTAACCTTAAACACAGCAGGGCAAGTTCTGTCCCCGGGGTATTAATTCCAAAGTCACACCTGTGAATTTTTTTAAGCTTTACTAAGACACAGGTCATGTGGCTGGAGGTATATGGAGTTCACTGTAGACCACATGTTTAGATCCATGAGGCCCTCCCTGTGCAGCCCCCAGTACTGAGGGAAAAAAAGTCATCTACATACTGTATAATTCATTCATTTAAATTCAACCCAATGGCGCTCAGTATATTAATAGTGTTGTGTGTCTATCTCCAGAGTCAGTCTTAGAACATTTTTACTACCCCTAAAAGCAACTACATACTTCTTTTTAAATTTCTTATCAGTTCATGTTTGCAATGAATAATTATTACTTTCCTTGTGTGAGTTGGTTCATGGACATAACACATCTTAATTCTTTTCAACACTTTTCTTTCCCTCCTTCCATTCTTAGATCTCATTCCCTTTTAAGAAAGATCTATCTCCTTACTTCCTATTATCTACCTTTTACTTTGTTCTTTATTTATACTTCAGTTTCTCATATAAAAGAAACCATGTGATATTTAAGCTTGTGTACCTAATATATTTTCACTTAACATTATGGTCTCAAGGTGCATCCATTTTCCTACACTTGACTCAAGTTTATCTTTCTTTATGGCAGAGTAATACTCCATACTATGTAAATACCACATGTCTTTATTCATTTGTGTGTCAAAAGACACCTAGGCCTCTTCTAAGATTTGGCTATTTGAATTCTGCTGCTGTAAACATGGTTATACATGTATCACTGTAATATGTCTAACTCTTTTGGGAAGATACCTAGAAAGGGGATGGCTGAGTCAAATGGAAGTTCTAGTGATAGTTTTTTTTTCTAGTAATAGCGTTATAGTAAATCTCAAGCAATTATAGAGAATCGACACACTCTGAGCCAAATTTCATCCTTTTATTGCCGGTGATCAAGAACAGGTTGCGCTCGAGAACACTTGACGAAGAAAAGCGGCTTGTGGGTTTCTTTTAAGCGGCTCTTCTAGTTGGGAAGGGCTCAGGGAGAGGAAGAGCACAAGTACAATTTCACAGAAGCAGAACTTTAGTGGGGGTCAGGGGCAGTTTCACACAGTTTAGTTGAAACAAAATATCACACGGATGCAGAGTATGTGTTCACAAGGTCATGAAGATAACATACAGCTGGAGACTCTACCAAATGGGATGTGGCAGCATCAACCAAGAGGAGTCTCAGGAGGGAATGGGGAGGCGACTGCCTGGAATCACTCGACTTTACATGAAATGGGGGGGGGGCAGTGATGAGGCACAAAATGGAGTCAGGTAGGCTATCACAATAGTTTTTTGAGGAATCTCCAATCTGATTTCCACAGTGGGTGTAACAGCTTACAAGCCATCAACAATGAAGAAAGGTTCCTTTTCCCCACATCCTTGCCAGCATTCAATATTATTTGATTTCTTAATGATGGCCAGTGTTTCTGGTGTGAGAATCACAGGGTTTTTGTTGCTGTTGTTGTTGTTGTTGTTTGTTTTGTTTTGGGGGTTTTGTTTGTTTTGAGACAGGGTCTCACTATGTAGTTGAAACTGACCTGGAACTCACTATGTAGCTCAGGCTGATCTCGAACTCACAGTGATCCTCCTGCCTCAGCCTCCCAAGTGCTGGGCTCACACAGGCATGCACCACCATGCCCGGCTCACAGGGTTTTAATTTGCATTTCTCTAATGTCCAGTGATGTTGTGCATTTATTCATGTATTTATTGGCCGTTTCTAATTCTTCTAAGAAGTGTTATTCATTTCAGTTGCCCATTTTTTCATTGGGTCTTCTATTTTGGGGTGCCTAATTTTTCCTTTCTCTTATGGGGGGGTTTGTTTTGGGGTAAGTTTGTTTTGTAGTACTGGGGATTGAACTCAGGACCTTGCACTTTCAGAGCAGGCGTTGTACCACTAAGCTAAATCACCGGCCCTTTTTGGGTTTTTTTTTTTTTTAACAGGTTCTTGCTTTGTAGCCCAGGACCAGCCTCGAATTTGAGGCAATCCTCCTGCTAAAATTACAGGTGTGAGCCACCATACCTGGCTTGAGTTCTTTATATATTCTATATATGAATCTTCAGAGGAGTAGCTGGCAAAATTTTTTTCTCCGTTCTTGTCGTCTTTTCACTCTGTTGGTTCTTTTGTGTTGCAGCTTTTTAATTTGATATAATCCTGTCTGTTGATTCTTGGTATTATTTCCTGTGCAACTGGGGTTCTATTCAGAAAGTTCTTGACTGTGATAGCCAGGTATGGTGTTACATGCCTGTAATCCCAGCACTCTGGAATCTGGGGCGGGAGGATCACCAGGAGTTTGCAGTCAGCCTGGGTTACACAATGAGAGGGTTTCAAAAACACCGCCCCGTGCCATAGAGCTACACCCACGCCTTTTGTTTTTGTTTTTGTTTTGTTTTGTTTTGTTTTTTGTAACCGGGGATTGAACTCAGGACCTTGTGCTTGCGAGGCAGGCGGTGGAACCACTGAGCTAAATCCCGGGCTTCCCCTAAGCCTTTAATGATGCCTATTGCACGGATGTGCCGCCTCTAGTTTGCCCACTCAGTAGCTGTGGGTGCTCAAATTCTCTCCAGTTTTGTCCGTCATGGGCTGCAGTGGACAGCGTGCTCATCTCCAGGGGCTGCGTACTCGGGCGGGACTGCCAGACCGTCTTCCACAGCTGCGCAGGTTTTCACTCCACCATAGGGCGGAAGGATCACAGTCTCCAGACACCCTCGTTGGCCGCTTTACCGTCCATCTTTTGGTTCCAGCCTGGGAGCGGCTTCCCTGTGAAATGTCCCAGTGGTTTGTGTGTGTTCCTCTAGGAATAGCTGAGCATCTTTGTGTGCAGAA